GGTCTAAACGGCAGGGACCATGAAGCACTCACTCCTGGATTCCAAGGACTGTGTTAGTAGTGGACATGAGTGTGGCAGTTGTGAAAGTACTTCCTTTGTTTTCTAGGATTAAAGGATAAGACCACCTCTCCTCGCTCACCTCATTCACTGCATGGAGGTGAAAGCCTGTGGCCCTTGGGGACCCATTGCACTCATGAAGGCTTCTCACAGAATGCTCCTCTCTCACAGTGTAGATCAATTCAGCCTACTCATTCATTCATTGATTCATCGATTCATTCATTCGTTTTTTTTTTTTATTAATCCAACAAATAATTTTTGAAGAGAGGTACCTAGTAAGGCCCAGGCCCTTTCTAGGAATTGGTGTCACAATTGTGAAAGAGACAGAGAAGGTTCCTGCCCTCACAGGGCTAATATTTTAGGGCAAGCAGACACTAAACAAGAGAACTAATCAAATGATACCCCATGACGGTAACTGCTGTTAAAAAATTAAAACAAGGTAGTGGGAGGGAGAAGATGGTGGGTAGGAACAGGTGGGCAGAGGGAACTACTTGAGATGAGGTGACATATGAACTGAAACCTGAAGGGTAATCAGCCAGCTCGCTATGTAAGGATCCGGAGGAACTGTATTACAGGAAGAGGATATACCACGTGCAATGATCCAGAAGTCAAGAAGAAGCCTGGCCCGTTTAAACAGAAAGGTCAGTGAAACTGGAATACAAAAATTGAGGAAGAGAGAGGTGGAAAATTAAAGATGAAAAAAGCAAGAGCCAGCTAGTATTGGGCCTTGGAGCCTTGATAGGACTTTAGATTTTCTTCTCAATGGGGAATTTAAAATAGATTTACTTTTCACAGAGATAGTGTGGGCACTGCATGAAGAATGAAATCTAAAGGGGCAAGTTTGAAAGAGACTCTAAGTCAAAATGCTGACCAGTGAGCCCAAGTGAGAAGACAAATTAGGACAACAGCAATGGCAACGGAAAGAAATGGCCAGATTGGGGATAAGGTCTGTAAATGGAGCCAAAAGGCTGCGCCGATGGACTGAATGTGGAGGGCGAGGAAAAGAGAGGAATCGCGCCGGGCTCCCAGGAGCTGGACAGACGCTCAGTGCCACGAACGGAGGGAGGAGAGAGAAGGGATGCAGGGGAGGGAATGGAAATTCAGGATGACTTTTCAGTTTTTGGTAAACAAGTTTGGCAAACTGATCTTTCTGGGGGCCGGAAGGCCCTTCTGACATAGGCACAGAGGTATCCTAAGACACTGCATGTGATACAACTGTTGGCCCTGCCCCCAAGCCCCTCGCTGCAGAGACAGATCACCAAGCCGTTCTAACATTTGCCTTGAGGTCCCAGGTTCCTGTCTTCTCTCTCTGGGCTTCCCGGTGGGCTTCCCTGTCCTCATTTCTCTCCTTAGGAGCCTCTAATCCCCATTTCTGTGGCCTCTACTGCTTCTGATGTCAAACCCCTCTTCATTCAAACTCTTTTTATTTCTTGGACCATCCAGGCTCCTGTCCATTCCCCTCTGCTTTCTTCTCCTCCCTCTCCACACGAGGCCAAGGTTGAAACTATAAACATCTGGAGTTGCCAAAAGGATACAGGATATTTGCCAGATCCCTTCCAGCTCCTTATTAGTAAGACAATTTCTAGGAAGCTGTCTCATCTTTGGCACTACACACACTAGCTTGACTCTATCCTCTGAGAATTCAGGTTTCCCTGTATGGTTAATTGGAGATTGGGCTGGATAGGTAAGTTGCCCCAAAGGATCAGTAGGTTACAGTTTTAAAAGTTCACAAACTAGTTAACTGGAATATAGTTTCTACCTGGAACAAAACCTATACAGGTTTATAACACATATTCCCCAGCAATCCACATCATTCATGTATTCGAACTGAAGTCCACAGCAAAGAAAGTAAGTCCCAGAGAGATAGCTACTATTATAATTCCAAAATTTTCTTCTTCCCCCCCATGACTGACAAAGGGACTGCTCAAACCTTCAGACTCAAACCTACTCCTCTTTCCACCAAAAGGGGCATGGACCTTCCCCGGCACCCCACCACAAACCCCACAAGAGAGCACAAGAATAGCATGACAGATGGAAAGTGAAAACTATTTCATTAGATCAACTGTTATTGCTTATACATTTAAAAACCTAACTCTGGGGGCACCTGGATGTCTCAGGTAGTTAAGTGTCTGACTTTGGCTCAGGTCATGATCTCACGGCGTGAGCTCAATCCTCACATCGGGCTCCTTGCTGACAGTGCGGGGCCTGCTTGGGATTCTCTCTCTCTGCCCCTCTCTCAGAATAAATAAACTTTAAAAATAAATACATACATACATACATACATACATACATACATACATACCTACTCTGAAGAGGTCAAGTATTGCTCAGGGTTACCAAATAAGTGTCAGTGGTAGGGCTGAAAGATCTTACTCCTACTTTGCACTACGCTATTCTGTCATCTTAGCAGGACAGCTGTGGTTCATGAAATTTATGATTACTCAAAGACATTTCTTTGGGGAAAAGATACTTACTTAGAGGCATGCTTCCCTCACCCCCTAATAACAATTCTTGATAAAAGGAAAACATGCCATCACAAATTTATTTAATGAAATGTCAGAAAAAATTAAAAACAAAGAACAGTTTTGACTCAAGCCAAGGCTGCCAATTCATCACTTTGTTGTTAATACAAATTTTCACTATAAAAATAGTAAGTTGGAAAAATGACTTTAATATGCTTAGCTAAAAACAGTTTGGAAAGCTGACACTAACATAATTGCACAAAAAAAAAATGAAATTTACTAGATAATACTTTATTTTGCCCCATTATACTCATTTCTACATGGCAATTTTTATACTGCTATTAACTATATATCCTTCCACCAGACTGCAATTTCTATGGAAGCATGGATTTTGTCTATTCTGTTCACTGATGTACCCCAAGCACCTATAATAGTTACTGACCCATAGTAGACATTCAATAAATATTTTCCACTGTTGATAAATGTAAGGTGTCATTTTCTTGCAGCATAACGCACCGTAAAACTGCTTCTTGGGGCGCAGTCGGTTAAGCATCTGACTCTTGATCTCAGCACAGGCCATGATCTCAGTTTGTGGGTTCAAGCCCACACTGGGCTCTGCATTGATGGCATGGAGCCTGCTTGGGATTCTGTCTCTCCTTCTCTCTGCCCCTCCCCTGCTTGGGCTCTCTCTCTCTCTCCAAAGAAATAAATAAACATAAAAAAAACAAACCCTGCTTCTTGAATGAATGTTCATAAATTGGGAATATAGCACAAAAGCAGAATTCAATGGAGGAAGCTGTATCTGGGAAAGGAAGGTTCTAGTGAGTCATCTTGACTAACGATGTGAAATACAATCATCTACCAGAACACAAAGCAAATGAAAGCTTCTTACAGTTAACACAGATGTCACATGTCTCTTGAATTTAAACTCGGGCACTCAACTGCCAGGGCAGTGCCCCTGTGCTCACATAAGCATAAGTTCTTGCTCTCCCCACCACTCTCCCACCCCTTGCAAACCTTTTACTTCATTTTAAGAGTAATTCCAAAAACCTTGGTTATCTGATTTTCCCAGCTCAAAGTAGATCAGAAGAGCTAGAAGGGCATCATAGGAAGAGGCTCACCAATTGGAAGAGACAGTCTGGCAGCCGATATGCTGACAACCAGGAAAGAGAAAAGAAAGCAGACACCAAAAAAAGCACAGGAATCTGGTATCATTTAGTTTCAATTCAAATACAGCCATATACAAATGTGTGTGTGTGTATATGTATGTATGTATGTATGTATGTATGTATGTATATATGCGTATATATGTATGTATATGTGTATGTAGATTTCCCATGAGAGTTTTGCTATTCTGAACACAGTAAGTGATTTTCATACTGATGATACTTTAATTAAACTGCCTACATTCTGTAGACTCTGCTTGAAGGCAACAAGGAACTAAGTCAATCTTTATTAATTTCCATATTATAAGAAAGGCCGATCATTTAAGGGGACAAGTAATTCGCTGGGCAATTCAGTTCTGTGGAATACCCAATCCCTGACAACGACAGCAGGTACCTTTTTGGGTTTTGTTTTGAGGGCCTATTACACACCAGGTCCTATGCTAAGTCCTTTATACACGGCTTCTCTGCTAATGTTCTCAACAACCCTTTAAGGAAAATATATCTTCCCTTTTTCTAGATGAGAAAACAGGTCAGAGAGGATAAATACATGCTCTAAATCATAAGGATAGAACACCGTACAGCTGGGATTCAAACTCAGGAGTGTGACTACAAATCCCATGCTCTTTCTACTGCACAGCAAGCTGACTCCCCAACACTAATAAACCCTGAAAATGAAGTATTAACTGCAAAAGCCGCACTGTGTGGGAAAATGTGACCTCTTGGCAACACAACTCAGCGTGACATGACCAAAGTCGTAAACTTAAAATCCACAATTATATTTCCCACTTTTTTTTTTTACTGGCCCTTCTTTCCTGTGGGTTCAAAAGAATGAATGCTTATTTGTGATAGTTAATCCAGGAATTCAACAATATTTACTAAGCATTCACCTTGTACAACACTGTAATAAATACTAGTTATTTCACTATTCCGCTGGTGGTTTTGCTACTAACCCTCAAATATTTTCCTTACCTTTTAGTCAGTGAAAGATACAGAACCATTACATTATAAAGCCAGAAATGCGGGACTTTCAGATGAGCATGGGTGATGTAAATAAGGCTAAAACAAATTAATGAGAAAATACCGAAGTGTAGATTTCTCCACTGGGAATTCAACTTTTTGACAGTGTTATCTTGCAAATGTCACCACTTTTTCTTTTAAAGTCCCACCTTAGAAAGCTACTTTTCAGAAGTATTCTCTGGTTAAGAAGGAGTAGAGTATTTCAGACCAGAGATTTATGTTCACCTTCTGTATCTTAAGAAATCCTATTACTGGAATATTTTATTTTACCTTTTGCTTATGTTAAGTTCCAACTTACCATATCTGTGCTAAAACAGGCTGAGGTAACCCAGATTGAAAAAAAAAGTTTCTAGCTTGATCACCTGTAAATTAAATGAAAACAGTTTCAGGAAACAAACAACAGCTGACCGGTATCTTCTTAGAGCAAAACTGCAAAAATAATAAGAGGCTGGCAATTCTGCAAACACTGAATTAAATATAGGATAAAAGCCAAAGCCTATAAGCAGCAGTAAAATGAACCCATCAGCACTGACTTTAGAACTTAGAACTTAACACGTTAGCAGGGGTAGATTGTCCACTCTAATTAATCTGCTATTTAGTAAGACGGGAACAGCTATGACAAAGCATAGGACATATGACAAAGCACATCTATTTAGGAATCCTCAAGAAACTGATGACCCCACACTTCTACTTTTTAGGTTCTCTGCCATTCCTAATATCTGTACTTCAAACCGTCAGTACATCTGATACATTTATGGAGAAAAAGTAACAATGATTACAAGATTCACATCAGTGATTAACAATTAATAATTTAAAGATAATGGTGATATACACACACATAAAAACAACTCCCCAGGAAGTCTAGATCCCATTTTTTTTCTAAAGCTAACTCCTAAAGAGTAACCAAACAGAAAAGATAGTAGATAAGGCAAGGTACAAAAAGAACTTTAAGGATACAGCAATGAGAGAATTCTGTCGTTCGCTTTTTTTTTTTTTTAATATTCAGAATCTGTTCATTTATTACATTTCCCAAACCAGTTCAAGATCAAAATTAAACAAGCATTTTAATTTAAGGACCACAGCCCATTGCTTTATTACTTAAAGAATGTGGTACATTGATTCTCACCAATTCCCATCAGCGATATGCCCAAAACAAGTGGCTTGACATCCATTAAGGAATGCAAAGAGGCTTGAATGCATTATAGGAAATGCAACTGAAAAAATACAGGCTCAAGGCTAAGGCAAATGTCCCCTTGGCCATATGTGCCCACCTCAGCTTCGCATAATAGATTTTCCACAGGTATATGCACTGCTAATAAGTAAAAATGTAAAAATGCTGTTTCCACTTACCAGTAATAAATCCGGATATTGGCTTTAAACTATGAAACTGTTGATCATGCTTTGCTCTTTCCTCTACAGTTATGGCCCAGATATCCAGGCTGCCTAAACCCAAAGAAAAGAAAAAGAAATTATTCAATGAGAAAAGAATAACAAAGTGCTCACATACACTATTTCCCTAGTACTTTCAGATTCTGTCACTATGTTATCAATTATTTGACCGATTAGTATCTGTTTGTCCTTGGGTGTTACGCATATAAAGTTAGAAAATTAAGAGTAAAACAGGCCAAAATAAGAAAGATACCAGCACAAATTCTTTTTTAAAAAACTTGCCCTATAATCTTATAGTTAGCAGGACTATTTAAAGACATAAGTTAACACGTAAGAATCGGAGGAAGAAAAACGTGGATTTGGAGAAGTCTGGGGCCAGCTTGCTTCCTGCAGGCTCAAGATCAACCATCCAACAGAGAAGAAAAAAAAAAAGAAAAAAAAAGAAAAAAAAGACATAAGTTAATAATCATTTATTTATATAAACTCAAGCAACGAACCAAGTGAAAGCTACATTCTCAGGTGATTCAAATGCCACACGTGAACATTAGGAAAGAACCAGAGCTTCACATTTCATATCCCATGTGATTCCATGAAAATCTTTCTGGAGCGACAAAAATATTGAAATACTGGATTGTACTGATGACATACAACTCTGCAAATATACTAAAAGTCACTGAATTGTACAGTTAAAATCGGTGAATTTTATGGTATACAAATTATACCTCAACAAAGATGTGTTTAAAAACGGGTATCCTGGAAAAAAAAAAATTGCAAACCAAAGAGACTGGGCTTTGGTTCCCCTTCAGTTTCAGCTCTGAGACTGACCACATGCCCCCTCACTTCTGTCACTTCTGAGATCTTCCTCACTTTTAGTCCTAGGTCTCCTCAATGTGATCAAAATAATTTCAGATTATCTATAGACTGAAGACCTTCCAAAGTTCAGATACTTTCCAAAAAGCTGGGAACAGGCAATAAAATGTGAATGTGGCTAGCACAAATGCAAAATGTCTGAACATTGTACCTCTCCTCTCTACAGGGTCTGGTGGGACAGTGACAGGAAGGGTGGGATTCATTCAGCCGTGGGAAACATATTTACTGACTGCCTCCTATGTGCAGGGCCCAGTGTCAGACATCAGAGACACTGTAGTAACTGAAACAGATATGATCCCTTCACTCAGAGGCCTTCTAATCCTACAACTTCTACTGCCCTCTTGAAATTCATCCGTGGAATTAGAAACAAAAGGAAAAGTTGGGGTGCCTGAGTGGCCTAGTTGGTTAAGCATCCAACTCTTGATTTCAGCTCAGGTCATGATCTCGGGGTTCATGAGATTGAGCCCTGCATCAGGCTCTGTGCTGAGCCCGGAACCTGCTTAAGATTCTCTCTTTACCTCTCTTTCGCGCTCTAAAAAAAAAAAGAAAAAAAAAGAGAAAGAAAAAACACAAAACACAAACCTGCCCAGTAATGGGGAAGAGGGACAAAATTGAAACAATAATGCTAATGGTTTTGAAAAGTTTGCATAATCTAGAATTCCATAGATTTTTACAGATAGACTTTTACAGATGTGATCAGAGAGGTGGTGATTTGTGCTATACTCTCTTTATGATGACTGGATTAGACAGCTGCCAAGAATCAGCCATTAAAATGGCACCCTCTCTTTAAAAATAAATAAGTAAATAAAATTTGGCCAGTAAATAAAGCCAATATTTAACACTTTAATCATAATATTAGGAAAAATTACCTGAAACAAAATTTTTTATGCATGCTGATATGTTTCAAGCAGATAAAGTAAAACAAACAAAAATTGTCCTGCTGCAAATCCAGGCTTTAGGAAAAGTACAGAATAAATGACCCAGTCACCTCAACAAGTACAATGCAAAGAGAAAACAGTGAGGAGGCTTAGGAGACACGTGAACTGAGATCAGTGTCTGCATCCTTATTTGAACCGACAAACCAGAGCAAAAAAGGGTCTGAAGACCATCAGGAAAATTTTAACACTGACTTGATAGTTGAAGATATAAAGGAATTACTGTGAATTTTATAGGTGTGATAATGGTGTTGTAGTTATGTCTTTAAGAGTGTTCTTATCTTTTAGAAACACTAAAATATTTGTGAATGAAATGGTATGAAGCCTGAGAGTTGCTTCCAAAGAATCCAGATGAAACAACATTAAAAATATGGTCTTGGGGTGCCTGGGTGCTTCAGTCAGTTGGGCATCCAACTCTTGATTTCCGCTCAGGTCATGATCTCAGAGTTGTGAGATCGAGCCCCATGTTGGGCTCCATGCTGAATGAATGTGGAGCCTGCTTAAGATTCTCTCTCTCTCTCCCTCCTCTGCCCCTCTCCCCGACTTGTGCTCTCTCTCTCGAAAGTAAAATAAATATATATATATTTAATATATGTATATATTATATACATACACATATACAAAAATATATATAATATATAATAAATTATATATATAATAAATTATATATATATATATATATATATATATAAATAATCTGGAATACATTACAAAAGGAAAATCTCAGAGAACTTACCTCCAAAAGGTGTTGGAAACTGAGCCATGGTTCTGTTACTTTTACCTTGCTAATCGACGCCTGTAATTGAAATGCAACATTTAAGTTTATGAAAACTTCATTTCTATACACTTATAAACACACTGACATGCAGTCTTTAATGATCAGAAACTGATACTAGTGCTGTTCCATATGAAAATGAAAGTTACAATTAAGGGGTTCATTCATTCATTCTCTGCAGCTTCTTAGTGCCAGTTACAATGGCGGGCACTGGGGAATGTGAAGCTTTCAGTCTGGAGAGTGATACCATTCGCTCAGAACAGCCTATTATATCACTGAGGTTTTACTTGTTACTCTTTAAATGTACGCCTTTACTTAACTATCTACATATACTAGTCCATCTGCTTGATGGTTGTAACAGCAGCTTCTTTTAATGAGCACTTAATACAAGCTGCACACTGTTCTGGGTTATTTATAGCTCTTAAATCTCTTCATCATCACAGCCCTTATGATATCAGTAAGACAGACAGGTATTACCATGCCCTTATTACAGATGAGGAAAATGAGAATTAGAGAGATGAAGTGATTCAAGCAATATCACACATCTGGTGACTAAGCTGGACCGGAGCAGGGATAGAGAACTCCACAGCCTGCATTCCACCCATGAAAAACACTGTCTGCAATCACTACTGAGAGATTTTGAGAAAGGCCATAAACAATGTATCCTATGTCAATGTCTGTCCAGAATACCAATCACAAACCCAATGCTCCAAAATCCCCATCAGGCGTTATCTGTTCATGAATAGCCAAGGTGAACCTCGTCTTCTTCCCCAACTAAAATAATCCAAAATTAGTATTTGCTTTTCCAACATGGCAGAGGCATACAGTTAAAAAATGAGTACTAAATATTCATACATTAAAAAATTTAGTTACTTTTAGATATTTACAATTACAGTCCCTTGTCCTAATACTCTTGAATTTCCTATTTTAATCTGTCCATGGATTTTTCCCCCAAATATCATATCTTTAAACTTCCAAAAGCTTTTTCTTGTTCTTAACTCTTTATTCCTAGTACTCTGTCATTTTTTTAACGGACACAACACCTTTTACTCTCCGGAATTTTTGGGTGGGAAAGAAGTATTTTGCTCTTTCATGTTCTTCTGTTTCTTACATCATTTGATTCCCTTTTCTGTTTGTTGGCCGACTGTTTTGGGTCTCTGTCACTTTTGAGGCTTTCCTCATCTATCTGGTGATCCCTGGCTGCTTCCTCATATTTAAGAGTGAGGTACTAAAAAAAAATCAGCATGGATGCCAGTTCTCTTGATTGATGGACTGCTGTAGATGACAGTCACATTTCACTCAGAGACCTCCAATGTCAGTACGCAGAGGTCTCTTCATTCAAGCTGCTCAGTTTTGCCAGAAAGAAGTGTATGGGAGGGTGCTGGCTTTTGGGGAGGAGTAGAAAAGGCAGGAGTAAGTAAAGGGCTATACTTCCGGATGTACACTAAGACCTACTCCCTATATTTTCAGCCCCGACCTTTACTCTTCTGGTCAGAAGCATCTCTGGTTCTAGTGCTTGACCCATCTCCCCAGGAAAAATGGGACTGAAGAAATCATGTTTGCTGGGGATGCAGAAGACATTCCAAAAGATCTGGACATAGACTTTTCAAGAACTTCCGTTTCAGCTACAAAACTGACCTCTGCCTTTGGCAGCCACCAAACACTCTGAATCCTGTCAAGACACTCCTGGGGGCTGCTGACTTGTCCCTCATCTCTGCCGCCTTTCGGTAGGCACTAGGTTGTACCTTCCTCTGAACTCGGTTACCACTCTATTCACTCTGTTTCCAAAAAATTCTTCAGATCTTTTGTTCACTATCTTCTCTACTATTATCTTTCTCCCTATGTGTTAACAACTGCTGTGCTTCCTTTGCGATCACTGCAGATGTGATGGAAGAAGAAAAGATACATGTGGTCAAGCCACCATATTTAAGTGGGGGGTCTGTGGATCCCGTTTTGAGGCAGGCCACTTCTCACTGCCAATTCCCCTTACGGCACCTGGGTGGCTCAGTAGGTTAAGCCTCCGACTCGATGTCAGCTCAGGTTGTGATCTTGCTATTGGGGATCCTGAGATCTTAGACCCTTGCTGGGCTCCACCCTGAGCGTGGAGCCTGCTTTGGATTCTCTCTCTCCCTCTCTCTCTCTTGCATGCATGTGCACTCTCTCTCTCAAAATAAATAAATAAACCTTAAAAAAAAAAAAAAGAAATTAGCTGCTATTCTCTTCTTCCACAATTTCTCGCTCAATACACTATAAAGGTGAGCTTGATGATTTTCCAAAATTTTTTAATGTTTCATCTCACTTAATCTTCATAATGCTCTTAAAAATTTTTTTTTTCAACGTTTATTTATTTTTGGGACAGAGAGAGACAGAGCATGAACGGGGGAGGAGCAGAGAGAGAGGGAGACACAGAATCAGAAACAGGCTCCAGGCTCTGAGCCATCAGCCCAGAGCCCGACGCGGGGCTCGAACTCACGGACCGCGAGATCGTGACCTGGCTGAAGTCAGACACTTAACCGACTGCGCCACCCAGGCGCCCCTTCATAATGCTCTTAAAATTGACAAATCATACATCTTTTTATTGAGCTTTGCAAAAGCAGTAAGCTCTCATTTTTTAAAAGCATGGTAATGCAAATATTTCATATATAGAACATGAGAAAACATTCTGTTCTGGTTTACTTCCATTCTTTACTATTTATTGCAAAATAAAGAAAAGTTACTGGTTTATCTATCTTCTTGGTACCCAGCCACTTTACCACATTTTTTTATTGGTGCTAAGGCACTCAGATGAGTCTCTCAGGTTTTCTAGATCTATATCCTCTGAGAATAAAGAATTTAAGCTTGCATTATTTGCCCAAACCAGTAAAGCTAGGCTATGTAATAGGTGGAAAGGCAGGAATTTTGATACTGCCCCTGGCTTTCATGGTGATGGTTTTGGTGTTTAATAAGTATTGATATTTCATAACCAATGAAATAGGTTATAAATAGTTATATCTGCTATTGTGTTTTGGTAAGTAGCTTTTGCCATGTTTAGGCAGTTTTCTATCATTTTTATTTGACTTAAACTTTCATTAGAAAAGCCTGCTAATTTTTTTCAGAGGCTTTTTTAGAGTATTTAATAAGATGACCATGTATTTCTTTTTTAATTAGCATACTAAATTATAGTGATATCTTTCCTAACACGAATTATCCTAGAATTTATGTAATAAACCCGACTCAGATATGCATGTTACTCTTTTACTACATAACTAGGTCCAATTTGCTCACATTTTCTTTAGAATTTTTGCTTAAGGAAACATTATACACAATTCTATGCAACAGAGAATCTAGAGACAATGGTTAGATTTCTACTTCACTGTAATTTCCAAACTGATCTTTTAAAAGGACATAATACTTTAAGAGAGCATAGAACTAACTTGAAATGTAAAGGTATAACATGAAAAAGGTCCCAAGAAAAAATAATTTTAGGGGTGAGTTTGAACTAACCTTCAAGAAACAAATAATTCCTTTTACTAAAACAATTCCACAGGTTATGAAATTAGCATAACCAATACTAAACTATGGTAACAAAAGTAGTGACCATTTTTACCTAGATATAATTATACGCCTTACTTTAAGTGTTTCACAGCTATTTTGAGAGTCACAGAGTATAACAACTCCTATAGTCCAAAGTATCTATGTATATTTTTAAAAAATTTTTTTTAAAGTTTATTTATTTTTGATAGAGTTCAGTGAGCAGGGGAGAAGCAGAGAGAGAGAGGGAGATAGGAGGATCTGAAGCAGGCTCTGTGTTGACAGCAGCGAGCCCCATGTGGGGCTCAAACTCACAAACCATGAGATCATGACCTGAGCCGAAGGTGAACGCTCAACTGACTGAGCCACCCAGGTGCCCCAAAGTATATTTTAATGATCAGTGGCTCCTTGCAAAGAGTATTTGCTGAAATAAAATAAAAAAAAAAAAAAAAAAAAAACTTAAAAAAAATGGGGCATCTGGGTGGCTTGGTCGGTTAAGCATTCGACTCTTGATTCCAGTTCAGGACATGATTCTCACCTTAGTGAGACTGAGCCCTGCATCAGGCTCTGCACTAAGCATGAAGCCTGCTTAAGATTCTCTCCCTGCTCCTCCCCTGCTCATGCACTCCCTCCGTGTCTGTCTGTCTCTCTCTCTCTCTCTCTCTCTCTCTCTCTCAAAACTAAGTACGTGCTGTTTACTGTCCTTCCTAGAATTCAGGAAATCATCCCCCACTTCCTCCCTCTGCCCCGCTCTGTGAACCTCTTCCCCAAAAGCCTTCACTTCATTATTAGCAGCGTCAGACAAAATTTATCTTCTGGCCCTTCTAACTACCCTGTCTGCTTCCTCGTCATCTTAAATCCGTAAGTAACAATGGAAAGGGTTGCAACCTCAGCCTGCGCCCTACACTTGCAAACTAAAGCCCTTCTGTCTCTTCCCTCCCCAATCCAAGCCTTGTTCCTTAACTGTCACTCAACTTAAGCCAGGTCCTGGTAAGGAATGGACCTAATAAAAACTAAATCGCTTTGAGGTGTGAAGAAGATGTACCTTCCAGACTTATTACTAACACAAACATCCAAATGCTGGTTTAAGGATGACGTTGGAATATTCCCACACACATTTCTTTTAGCCACAGGCACTTCAAATGCTATTTACAGCTAGGTTCTCCTCAGCTCCTGGGGAACCCCAGACAAAGTAGTAACACGCAATGAAGCAACCAGATCGAACCTTCCAATCCCACCTCCTTTTCAGTTCTATGCCACACAGGCAGATCAGGGTGATAACATCTTGGTTCAAACTGTTGTTCCTACTTTTACATATATTTGTCGTATGTATTACAATAATTTGAAAAAAGAAAATAATTTTTTAAAAATACCGCAAGATTTCTAAGTGCCACAAACCAGATTTCTAGTTTGGCTACAGTGGTATAAGCCCACTAGAGCCTCTGTCCCACTTAAAACTAAAAACTGGGCAGGGGCGCCTGGGTGGCTCAGTTAAGTGTCCAACTCTTGGTTTTGGCTCAGGTCATGATCTCACAGTTCATGGGTTCGAGCCCCGTGTCGGGCTCCATGCTGACATTGATGGTGTGGAGCCTGCCTGGGATTCTCTCTCTCCCCCTCTCTCTCTGCTCCTCCCCTGCTCTTTCTCTCTCAAAAATATATAAACTTTAAAAAAAAAAAAAACACTTTTAGAAACTGGGCAAAAGTTTTAAAAAACAAATACCTAAGGACAATAAGAAGTAAAGAAAAGTAGGCAGATTTCAGAAGACAGTCAGAAGTCCCCCCAACTTTTGTTCACTTTTCTCTAGCAGCTCTGCCCCGAGAGTTGGCCCAGTCATGGAGTTATGCAGTGAGGCAGAGGAGCAAAAGGTAAAACTCTGGTAGAAACCCAGTCTGGCCAAAGGAACTAATAAAAAAGGCCTCTGTAGACAGGAGAGTGTGAGGATCCCTTAATTCTGTAAATGAACTCCCACAAGACTCAGGCTCACCTCTGAGCTGCAGGACGGAACAAAAGTAGCACAGCAAAAGTATTGAAAACTGACCTAACAATGGGACCTCTGTGAGCAGGAAGCAGCAGGCAGAACTTGTACTTGGAACCTAATCAGGAAGAAGACCTGCTACAACCAACACCAGCACTGTGCAGAGGGTCACTGCAGCACCCGGAACCTGACATGAAATTCACAATCTCCACGAGGTAATCCAAACTTACTGGACATACATGCAACTAGGAAAATCTTGCAAATTCTCAAAGAAAGGAAAGACTGTAATAAACAGATCCCAGATCCCAAATGATACAGAGGCTGAAATTATCACAAAGACTTTAGAGGAGCTATTATCACCTGTGTTCCATGAGGTAAAAGTAAACACAAATGAAATGACTTGAAATACACAAGATCAGCAGAGAAGAAAAAATTAGTTGAAAAAGAAGCAAATGGAAATTTTAGAGAGAAACTTAGATCTTCAAGAATAAAGGAACAGAAACAGAAATGATAAATATATGGATAAATACATAAAATTATATTTTTCCTATAAAACTCCTGAAGATACGTAGAGTGCTGAAAGCAAATATTGTCACACTGTGTAGTAGGGCTATCAACATGTATAAGTGTAATAATACATAGGACAACCTTAACATAAAGGTCTGTTGGGTAAGAGTAAGGGACTTAGATGGCTGCAAGCCTTCTACATTTTATTTCAAGCAATAAAATATTACCTGTAAGCAGACTATGAAAGTTAAATATATTTAATCCCTAGAGTGACTACTTAGAAAAATAAAAACACAAACACACAAAGAAATACAGCCAGAAAGGCAATAGACAAATGAAAATAGAACGCTAAAAATTACTCAATTCAAAAAAGTCAGGAAAAGAAGAATAGAAGAACAAAAAACAGGATAAACAAAACAAATAATAAAATAGCAGATGTAATTCTAAAATACCAATGACTACATTAAATGTTAATGGTCTAAACACTAAAGAAGAGAATGGGGGGAGCAATGTAAACGACAAATAGAAGGAAGGGAATAATAAAGATACTAGCAGATATAAAAGAAATTTTTTAAAAGACCTACAATAGAGAAAATTAATGAAACCAAAATCTGGTTCCTGGGGGGAGGGGGGGACAAACCCTTACTGACACTGATTAAAAGAGAGAACACAAATCAGATCAGAAATGAACTAAGGGTCATTACCATCAATGCTACAAACATTAAAAGAATAAGAAATACTAAAAACAACTTTATGCCAACAATTTGACAATGTGGATGAACAAATTTCTTGGAAAAAACTTACTAAAATTGATACAAGGAGAAACACAGTATCCAAATATTACTATACTTATTAAAGGAACTGATTTTATTTTTTCTTCCCAAAAAAGAAAACTGCATTCTTTCACTGGTGAATTCTTTCAAACATTCAAGGAAAAGAAAATACAAAAACGTTGCAAACTTTTTCAAACAATAGAGGGATCAGTGCCCAACTCATGTTTTTGAAGCCATCATAATGCTAACACCTGACAGATATTATCTTCCCAAAATTACATATCAAGACCCTAAAGAATGTAGATGCCAAAATCCTTCACAATAAAAGTTTCATCTTAATAATACATAAAAAGGTTAATGAAACATGACCAAATAGGGTTTATCACAGAAATGCAAGATTTGCTTACCATTTGATAATCAGTTAATGTAATTTACCACATTAAATGAATAAAGCAAAACAAACAAACAAAAAAACCCCAATATGATCATTTCAGTAAATGTGGGGAAAAAAAGCTTTTGACAAAAAATCAACACCCAATAATGATTAAAACTCCCAGAAAATTAGAATTAATAGGAAACTTCCTCAGATACAGGGCATCTATGAAAACCTACAGCTAATATAGTCAATGGTTTAAGACTGAATTTCTCCCCATGAAAATAGGAAGGCAGGGATATCTGCTTTTACCACTCCTATTCAACATTGTTCTGAAGGTTCTAGCCACTGAAATAAGGTAAGAAAAACAGAAAAATAATAGCCATAAAGATTGGAAAAGAATAAAATGAAACTCTCCCTACTTGCAGAAAACTCCAAGGAAGCTACTAAATACGGTAATAAGTGAATTTACCAGATTCTTATTTTGCAAAGTGACTTAGCAAAATTACAGGATAAAAGGTTAAGATAATAACGTTCTAAAAATCAACTGATTTCTCATACACTAGAAGCAAATAATTGGAAAGTGAAATTAGACAAACAATCCCATTTACAGCAGTGCCAAAAAATGTATAAGTGCTAGGTATAAATTTAACAAAAGACATCAGGGTGCCTGGCTGGCTCAGTTGGTAGAGGATGGTACTCTTGATCTCAGGGTCATGAGTTCAAGCCCCCCTTTAGGGCATTGAGCTTACTTAAAAAACAAAACAAACCAAACAAAAGGCACCCAAGGCCTCTACTTAATATTAGGGGGAAATATTAGGGGGAAAAATTAAAGAAGACCTACATAAATGGAGACATATACTAAGTTCCTGGATTAGAAGATTTAATATTGTTAAAGTTGCAGTTCTCTCCAAATGGATCTGTATATTCAATGCATTTCCAATCAAACTGCAGCAGGCTTTTTAGTAGAAACTAACAAGCTAATATTAAATTTACATGGAAATGCAAAGGACCTAGAATAACCAGAGCAATTTTAAAAAATAACAAAATCAGAGTACTTATCCTACCTGATTTCAAGATTTACTATGAAGCAACAGTAATCAAGACCTTTGGAATTGGTGCAAAGAGAGACATACCAGATCAATGGAACAGAAAACAAGAGTTCAGAAATAGATTTACATGTTTGGTGAATTCATTTTTAGTAAAGTAACAAAGGCAAACCACTGGAGGGAAAAAAAAAAAGACTTTTCAACAAACAAACAAACAAACAAACAAACAGTGTATCAACTGGATATTCATATAGAAAAAAAGAAAAAGAACACTGACCCTAACTTCATATTATACACAAAAATTAACTCAAATGGAGCGAAATTAAAAAATTTAAATTTGGACCAATTTAAAACCATATAGTTTAGCATTAAAATTCTAAAAGATGGGAGAATACCTTCATGACCCTTGACTAGACAATGATTTCTTAGAATACAAATAAGCATGATTTATTTACAAAAAAGAAGAAGGGCTGGGCTTCATCAAAAAAATTAACTCTTCAAAAGTACCATTAAGAAAACAAAAACGAAAGCTATAAACAAAAAAACGTTTGCAACACAATCAGACAAAGGAACTGTATTCAGAATAATATGGAACTCTTACAACTTTCTTAAAAATAAAATAAGATGGGGGAGGGGAGGGGCGTCTGGGTGGCTCAGTAGGTTAAGCAACCAACTGTTGATTTCAGCTCAGGTCATGATCTCACTGTTCCTGGGATCAAACCCCATATCAGGCTCTGTGCCAACAGTGTGAGCCTTCTTGGGATTCTCACTCTCCCTCTCTCTCTGCTCCTCCCCCTGTCAAAATAAATAAATAAACTTATAAGACAGGAGCACCTGTGTGGCTCAGTCAGTTAGTTGACTTCAGCTCAAGTCATGATCTCATGGTTCATAAGTTCAAGGCCCCACGTTGGGCTCTGTGCCGACAGTTCAGAGTCTGGGGCCTGAACTGTGGATTCTGTGTCTTCCTCTCTGTTCCTCCCCCACTCATGTTCTGTCTCTCAAAAATAAATAAACACTAAAATTTTTTTTTCAATAATAAGATGGATTTGCCTATGGCTCACCATAGCTTGCTTATCCTGAACTGTAATTCCTCTGCTCTTCCCAAATAAGCATCTTTTGTACTTAAAAGAAATAATAAGATGGGTGCCTGGGTGGCTTAGTTGGTTGATTAAGCATCTGACTTCAGTTCAGGTCATGATCTCCGGTTTCTGAGTTCGAGCCCAGCATTGGGCTCTCTGCTGTCAGTGTAGAACCTGCTTCAGATCCTGTCTCCCTACCCCTCTGCCCCTCCCCGACTTGTGCACACTCCCTTACTTCCTCTCTCCGGTCTCTCTCTCAAAAATAAACATTAAAAAAACAAAACAACAAAAACCTCAGTGAGGAAATGGTCAAAAGAAATGTAACAGACACTTCACCAAATAACTTAAATAAATGGCAAATAAACACATGGAAAGAAGCTCAACATCATGAGCCATTAGGGAAATTAAGCTGCAATGATATGCCACTATATTTCCACTGGAATGGCAAACACGAAAGACTGACCATACCAAGGATTCTGAAGTGCTGCTGACAGGAACATAAGATGGGATGACCACTTTGAAAAGCAGACTTTCCTTAAAAAGTTGTACAGATCCCACTGGATCTTGCCACTCAACTTCTAGGTATTTAGCTAAAAGAAATGAAAATTTGGGGTGTCTGGGTGGATCAGTAGGTTAGGCATCTGACTCTTGACCTCAGCTCATGTCATGACCTCTCAGTTCATGGGTTCGAGCCCCGAATTGGGCTCTGTGCTGACAGTGCAGAGTCTTCTTGGGATTCTCTCTCTCTCTCCCTCTCTCTCTGCCCCTCCCCAGCTCATGCTCTCTCTCTCAAAATAAATAAATTAAAAACAAAAAAGAAAAGGAAATAAATGTTTATGACTACATGAAAATGTGTAAACAATCATATCAACTTTTTTTTAAATGTTTATTTTTATTTTTGAGAGAGAGAGAGAGAGAGAGAGAGAGAGAGAGAGAGAGCACGAGAGCACGAGTGGGGGAGGGGCAGAGAGAGAGGGAGGCACAGAATCCAAAGCAGGCTCTAGGCTCCAAGCTGTCAGCACAGAACCCAACAACAGGGCTGGAACTCATAAACCTTGAGATCACGACCTGAGCTGAAGTGTTATGCTTAACCGACTGAGCCAGCCAGGTACCCCTGAACTTTATCTTTAGTAAGAGCCAAAGCTAGTAACCCAAATATCAATCGAATGATGAAGGGATAAAGAGTGATTTATCTCTTGTACTGCTTAGCAATAAAATGTAATACTACTTAGCAATAAAAAGGAACCAACTGAGGAGTGCCTGGGTGGCTCAGTTGGTTGGGTGTCCAACTTCGGCTCAGGTCATGATCTCACAGTTCGTGAGTTCGAGCCCCACGTCAGGCTCTGTGCTGACAGCTCAGCCTGGAGCCTGCTTCAGATTCTGTGCCTCCCTCTCTCTCTGCCCCTCTCCCTCTAGTGCTCTGTCTCTGTCTCT